CAATATGATAAAAAAACCATCTTGTTATCCTCGATGGCAACAATACAATACGTGTCTTGCAACCCTTTCTGTCGCTGGGTAAGAACACCGCAAGATTGAACCCAAAGCTAAGCACTTCTTCCATTGCAAGAACTACCAATCTAGTTGGCCAAACCAAAAAGGATAATTCGAAGAGACTTGCAAAGATAACTCAATCATACATAAAAGAATTCAGAGAAGATTCAAATATTTTCCATAGATAATACTGGATCATAAACCCACAATTCATCGGTCTCAACAAACACACCGCAAAAAGAAGATTACATCGAATAGATCTCCACGAGAGAGGGGGATAACATTGTATTGAGATCCAAAAAGATAGAATAAGCCATATAGCTACTAGCTATGGACCCGAAGGTCTGAAGTAAACTACTCACACTTCATCGGAGGGGCTATGGTGTTGATGTAGAAGCCCTCCATGGTGGATGCCCCCTCCGGCGGAGCTCTGGAACAGGCCCCAAGATGGGATCTTGTGGATACAGAAGGTTGCGGTGGTGGAATTAGGTTTTTGGCTCCTGTTCTGATCGTTTGGGGGTACGTAGGTATATATAGGAGGAAGGAGTACGTCGGTGGAGCGTCAGGGGGCCCACGAGGTAGGGTGGCGCGCCCAGGGGGCGCGCCCTCCACCCTCGTGACCGCCTCTAGCACTTCTTGGAGTAGGGTCCAAGTCTCCTGGATCATGTTCGGTGAGAAAATCACGTTCCCGAAGGTTTCATTCCGTTTGGACTCCATTTGATATTCTGTTTCTTCGAAACACTGAAATAGGCAAAAAACAGCAATTCTGGATTGGGCATCCGGTTAATAGGTTAGTCCCAAAAATATTATAAAAGTGGAAAATAAAGCCCAATATAGTCCAAAACTGTAGATAAAGTAGCATGGAGCAATCAAAAATTATAGATACGTTGGAGACGTATCAACGAGCCTAATCAACTGGAATCGGATTGCCATGGATGGTTGCTTCAGATGCATTCGGTAAAGCAAAGCCGTCTGCCACCTTCATGGATATGTTCTTCATTTTCATGTGTGGTTCACAACTTGTCTTCTCTTTGACATCATCCATGGGGTAGCGAGCCAGCGGTGTATCATCCGCCCCGACCCCTGTGGAACCCATGCTGCTTTCCGCATAGATGGGATGGTACCATCCAATGTTGGATCTGCTTGCTCCTGCCACGGAGGCGCCCTTTGGTGGCTAATTGTGTCAAAAAGCTTCCGCTGCCGCATTACAATGCATTGCAACTCCGCGTTCTTTGATTCTACCTTTTGAAGCTGGTCTTCATCCCGCCTCTCTTTTCTTTGACAGCTTCTATAAGAGTCGTTCCACTCCGAAACCCCCTGAACCCACAGAATAATGCATTTGCCTCGTGTTCGTCCTCCATGTTCAGGATTCCTGAGGGTGTGTGTAAGCTTGTCGTTCTCTCCTGTCAGGATGGAACAACCCCTTCTGAGCATCGGCTATTGCTTTAAGTAAAGCGTCTGAGGCTGTTTTAAGATTTGCCTTTTCAATAATCTCCCATGTCTTTAGGTCCAACTTTCCCCCATGCGCGTAAAACCAACTCCTGGACCTCTCGGGCCAACCCGTTGTTTTTGGAGTGACCCCTGCAGCAATCATCTTGGCCTCCTCTGCTTCCCACTTAGGCAGGCCTCTCTTGTAGCCACCTGTCCCCAGAACATGGTGATACTCTATTTTGGCAGCATTTATCTTGTTTTTTCTAGACCTTTCCTTAGCTTCATTCGATTCCTTGTACTTCACAAATTCGTCCCAGTTATCTTTTACCTTCTCTAGTGCTCTAGTGAATTCTGGAGTCTTCCTTTCTACATTGACATAGTCGTTGTATAATCTTTTCTTCCATGTATGGAATTGTATGGCCATCTTCTTAATAGTCCACTTCTTCACTTTCAACCTTTGGCCATCTGTGAAACCCTCCTGAGTAAAATGTGACATGAGCGTATCCCAAAGCAAAATTTTCGATCTTTCCTCGACATAACTAACTCCTCGATCTTCCTTTGGCTTATTCCATTCTCGAACGGTGATCGGGATGTTGTCCCTAGCAATAACTCCTCACTGATTTATAAATTTGCGGGTATTCTCTACAGGAGCAATTGGTTCGTCATCTCCTGTGACTCCATCGATGTTGTACTTTACGCCATTGCCCAACTTTTTGGCCCGACCTTGTACCCTTGTAGAGATTTGCTCGAACTGGAGGGCTAAAAGAAAAAATATTCGTTAATTGGAGCAAATCTTCTCCAATTAATACATCTAATGATCACCAGCGCTGGACTTTATTAATTGGAGAAGATTTTCTTCGCCATCATTGTTTGTTTGCTCTTCATATCTTGGTTCTTCCTCAAGTCTTTCACCGGATGCGTTCAGAAATTGTGAGCCATCATCTGGTTCATTCTCTTGTTTTTGGGAGGAGCGTATGATGTCAAAGATGATATCCTCATCATGGTCTCTGTCGCTACCGTCCATAGCTTAACTAATCGAGAAGAAAGATAAAACAATTAGAATGACATGGAGATATGATGTGGTTTGAGCTTATGCAACTAACATCCGATAAACATGGCAAGTTTTAATTCAGGCAGTTTCAGACTTAGCATCAACATCATATTTTGGCATGAAAACAAGTTTATAGCAGTCACATCATGGCATATCATGGCAAGAACTAAATTATAACAACAAGATGACATGAAAATGCTCCACTCCATGCACCGGCAAACAAGAGGGAACACAATCAATGTAATGCAACAATACCGGCGAAGGGGGGAAACATCTGGAGGGGTCTTTCCGACCGTGCTAGTGGTGAACGATCACAGTACTACACGATACCGGCGAAGGTGGAAAACATTCGGAGGGGTCTTCTCTGCATTGTCAGTGGTGATATATCGCAGTACTACACAATACCGGCAAAGGGGGAAAACATCCAGAGGGGTCTTCCCGACAGTGCTAGTGGTGACATATCGCAGTACTACATGATACGGGCAAAGGGGGAAAACATCCAGAGGGGTCTTCTCGGCAGTGCTAGTGGTGACCTATCGCGGTACTACACGATACCGGCGAAGGGGGAAAATATCCGGAGGGGTCTTCCCGGTGTTTTGCATTTTTCGGACAGATGAAAAGAGGGGACGGCTCCATGTTCAGCATGCTACAGGCACGTGACAGATAAACGAACGACATCTTCAGAATTATCATATTTTTCTAATCAAATTCCATATATAAATTATTTTCATCCGAGTTATAGATTATTTTATATTAATTTCCAAAGTTTTAACAAATTTCTAGAATTATTTATATTTCAAAAATAAATAGGAAAATGCTAAATGCACAAAGAAGGGTGTACACAGAAGATGAAATAGGTTATTAGATTTTATTTAATTCTGTTTAATTAACAGGGCCCACAAGTCAGTGCGGTTAGTATCGGGCCCCATTGGGCAGTGGCCCAGGGTCGCCCACATGAAAGGCCGGGTCAGCGGCGGCTGTGGTGGCCGGCGTTCAGCCCCCGGCGCCCAAAAATACGGCGGAGAGGGCTCCGCCTCGCCGGAAAATAGCTACGGGGCATGGCCGGAGGCGTTGCTAGGCGAGTTCGCACACGGGCAATGACGTGCGTGCAGTGGTAGCAGTGGTGCGACCTACAGTGACGGGTTCGACGCCAGCGACGAGGTGGATCGGCGGCGGCCTCGGGCGCGTGACGGAGCCGGCGCTACATATCAAAAACATTGCCCAAAGCTCACATAATTCAACCAAATACAAATATTATAGTTTCACAAACCGATAAAATCTCATAGTTTGCAAACCAAATGAAATTTAAAGTATCACAAATACATTTGAAATGAAAAAAAAATAGCCAATACATCTATTGGTTGCCAAGGTGAGTCCGCAGATGCTCAATCTAATTATCTTGTAGTTGAATGTGAGTTTTTCAATCATGCATTTGATGATAATATTCGATGAACTATGCAAATGTGGCCGCTCCTCCATGCTCAGGCACAATATTTTCACTCTGAAATTGAAACCCTAGAATAAATTATTCCTTCATCGATATCATCAAGGATTTTATCTTCACACTCATCCTCTATGATCATGTTGTGCATGGTCACACAAGTAATCATCACCGCCCACAACTTCTTAGTGCTCCAAGTTCTGGCAGGACACTGAACGATGTCCCATCGAGATTGAAGAACACCGAAAGCACATTCCACATCCTTTCTAGCACTCTCTTGTGCTTCGGAGGTATGTGGTTGTGGGAGGCGGTCTGGCCACCGGAACTGGGCGGCAGCGGCTCGGGCGGGTGGCCGGGTGTGTTGGCTGCCGATAGGAGAGAGGAGGAAATGATCAATGTGCCACCAACTGGCGGGTCGGGGGAAGGACAAAAGCAGGCGTCGCTCACGTCTGCGCCGTGTACGCGCCGACACAAACCCAGCTTAAATTTAGGCCTGAAATGAGTCACGCGTAGACAAAAAACAAACACTCGTCTATTAGCGTAGGCATGTTGGATCGTGATTTCTGTTCATTTTAATTCAAACAGACACGTGCGGAGATTTTACGTCGGCGTGTTAGAGTTGCCCAAACAGCAGAGTGGAAATGCCGCTTCCACGCGAAACCACGAACACAGCACCTCACGAGGCATCAACAACTGCAGGTGAAGGACGGACCCAGCCAAGGTAGAGAATCTGCGTCGAGTCGTCGACCCACTAGCGGCTAGCACCAACCCAGCCCCAGCCCGGGCCGCGTAATCGCGTATGACCAAGCACGAGTGAGGAGCATTGGCTCGTTCAAACACACATGACCAGTCAACACCAAATCTTTATAATATACAAATGCCACTCTACGAGCCTACCGCGTGCGCGCCAACGGACCTCATGTGCCCGTGTGTATATATAGGTCATGTCCGGCAACCCCATCCCCCGCAAAGCCTTCCATCTCCTCATCTTTGCATTCCTCCGTCCAGCTCCAAGCGCAACCAATGGCCGACATGAAGATCGCTCTCCTTGCCGTGGCGGCGGCCTTGCTGGGCACCGCGTCGGCAGCGACCTACAGGGTCGGCGAGCCCAGCGGCGTGTGGGGCATCAACACCGACTACGCTAGGTGGGTGGCCGACAAGAAGTTCCAGCTGGGCGATGAGATCGTCTTCAAGTACTCGCCCACGGGGCACAACGTGGTCGAGGTCACCAAGGCCGGCTACGACTCCTGCAGCACCGCCAACGCTATCAACACCTTCAACTCCGGCAACGATGTTGTCGCCCTCAATGCCACCGGCACCCGCTACTTCATCTGTGGCTTCACTGACCACTGCATCCCGGACGCCCCCCTCACCATGAAGATCGTGATCAACGTCGCGTCGGGTTCCTCCTCGCCGTCGTCACCCACGCCAGCCGCAGGTCCTGGCGCGAGCAACTCTCCCCCGACGCCGCCCTCCTCTGCCGCTACCACCGTCAGGGCCGCGGCAGGATTTGGCCTCGTCACCCTACTGGCGGCAGGTCGCATATATTGATCAGCTGTGGTGCCCACATATGAGCTTATATATTGTTAACTACAGCTAGTATCACGGGTGAATACATCTATTATTATTTTTAGAGCGAGAATGCGATAGTTACTTCTATGTATCATGTTTAAGCGTAATCTACAAGCGCAAAGTTCCTTTCTAGGCCAAGCTACACGGCACCCACTATCACCATCATCTGTTCACGTCAAGATATGTGCAGTGGTCAGAGGCAGGGTTAGACATTTAGTAGACTGTAACTGTCTCACCCTCTCAGCACGAACAGTACTATTTGTGTTGACGCTGGAACGCGTCACACGAACACGTCGATGTGTACCCGCGGCGCCGAGGGAGATGCTCCGCAACTCACACCGCGGGAGGCCGACTTCCAGCGCGATACGCAAGACAGCAAGTCGGCGTTTTTGGGACCCGAAACCCCACACGCCCGGGAGGGACCCCGTCTGGGCGCGCGGCTACTATGGGCTGCCCTAGGTCGACCTGATCGCCCCTAGGGCCTCGAGGTTCGCCGCCCTGCAATGAATAAGAACGAACGAAGAACGAGGAAGAAAAAGAACTAGGGTTAAGGAGAAAAGATAAAAGATAAAAAGTGGTAGATTGATTGATCGATTGTGTGTTGTTCAATCGGCCATCACCCCTCAGGTATATAAGAGGCGGCTGGACTTCCCGTGCAAGGAAAAGGATTGCATCCACGTCCAAAGCCCTAGTCAAATTCGGATTGGTTTTGTCCGAACTTTCCAAAATTGTTCGGTTTAAACTGGCTGCACCTTGCGGGTAACTTTTGAGGTGGTAAACGACCTCGGATGGAAACAAGCCCAAAAGCAATCTTGACCGTTTCGACGAGACGAACAACTTTTATGTTGAACGTTTTTTGATTAGAGTTCATTTTGAGGGACAAATCGCTCGTGCAACACAGGCTGTTATTCGCGCTACCCATCAGACTGGGTGTTTGGTGGGGCGCGCCACTTTTGGTCCGTGATAGTGCTGTGTTCGGATGGCTCTAACTTTTACATACGAACTCGGATTGGAATGATTCTTATATCAAAATCGATCGTTCGACGAGACGAAGACAATCCATGTAGATCATTTTTCCATACGAGGCAGTCTTGGGGGCGTAATGTGCCGAATAGTATTCTGAATACAAAATCTCAGTATTTCAAACACAACTTCGGCCTTCGAGATGAGATCAGATGGTGATGGTCCAAACTTCAAAGATGTTCGTATCGACAATACGAAACTTTTTCATGTAGAACACTTCTTCATTTGAGGCCATTTTAAATAAGTTCTTCACTGTGCCAAAATCTGGTGTCAACACATGCCCCCCTGTTTTTCGGCAAAGCCTATGTGCCGAAAAATAACTTGCACATAGCTTGCTCTAAGGACGATGTTAACACTGCATCGGCCATTTTGGCATATTCTTAGGACGATAAGTTTATATCGGTCATTGCTTGTGTGAATATTTTGACGCAAGCTTGGGTGAAACTTTCTCAACTTCCTTAACAATCCGATGATAAAGTCCCATAGATATGTATCTCAAGGTCATCCTCGGAACCATATTATTCACCCTTTTGCTAGGATTTTGCTGATAATCAATAATAAACTTTCTCCAATCCTTATTTTCGCCTGTATAAGAAAAATTCATTAGTGGCCGAAGCGGTGGACTTCGGTTCGGCCTTACCTATTCTGACGAGACTAAGCATCGGCTATTGATAGAAATGCAACACACAATGACTAATATAGTAGCCTGATGCTTGCTGTGCCAACTCTTTCAAATTGTCATGTCTAGAAATATGAACAATTTTATAGCAACCCAAGGTAATTTTGCATCTAGACATACCTTAAGATAAACTATAAGTGACTCGTCAAAACATTGATAACCCTTGGATATTTGTTGCACTACTTATAACGAATCACTGAAAGTCTCAATCTGTATAGCACCTATAGCAAAGCTCCAAACCGAATAAATTTCATATTCGGCTTTGACTATTGTGTAAACATATTTTAAGTGGCATAAGGCTTGTTTTGGTCTCCAATTGAACTAATGATGACGTTAGGATACTACACCGGCCATGCTTTGACATATTCTTAGGGCAATAGATAAATATCAGCCATTAACATGAGGTCCATGTAGAATTCACCCACCAAAGTATGTATAGCCGAAATAAACAAATAAAATAGGAATAAAATATTTCGGCCCCTTTGTATTAGCAACAATGTAACTAACCAAATGTATGGTAATTTGGTAATACTCTCTCATGATATAGAAAATTATGTTGCATCCATGGATCAAAAAAAATCAATGGAGGGTAATTGATCATACCTAGGGATGAATTCCATGGCAAAGGCATCAACGACATGGTTGAAGAAAATGGATGATGTGCTAACCGAAGATTTTGATGTTGTGATGCGCACCTTCGGCTTAATTGTTTGTTGCTTTCATTATTTTCCTTCTTCACTTTTATTGTACTTGTTGCAACAGAAGCATGCACATCATTTTTGTGTTGACTGATCTTCTTGGGAACCCATGTAATGTTCTTCTTTTTCAGCTCTTGTGCACTAAGATTTTATAATTTTTTCTTTTGCCAATATGATAAACCGAGTGGGCATCTCGGCTGTGATTTTGTTTCAACCAATGGCAACTCTTTTTGGGCCTTGTGCACCCTCAACTTCTTTTCTTCAGATTTGGCACTCTGATTTTTATCAGTTGATTGCTTCACTTCTTTGCCTTTTGTAGCCAATGTTAACACTTTAATTGGCTCTTTGTTATTTGAGATCAAATCTGAAGCAGCACACTTACGACCATCTCTTTTCACGCGGTAAACTTGCTTTACCACCTCTTTCTTCTTTCTTGAGCTCTGGACCGATTCCTTATGATTGAAACGGTCTTTGACGCGTGATTATTCAAATGTTGATCTCCTTGGAGCTGCATAGTATTGGTGAGATGGTCTAGAATAAGATGGAGAATGTACCCTTGTATCATACTTGTCCCATGATGAATATGTATCTATATGAGCATAGGGAGGTATCCACGGTATTGGCATCGGCGGCCCAAAATAAGGATATGAATATGTTGCATTAAAATTATCAGTTTGCCAATACCGATCCTCATATTTGCGCCTTGGGGGTGATCTTGGTTTCTTTGCATGATTTGTCCGATAAGCATTCGTCTCTTCACTCTTCTTTTGATATTTATCCAATAGTTTAGCAAAGGTGATTTTTGATCTCTTACACTTGCGCTTATTCCAGCCTTTGTTTTCTTTTGGTTTGCTTTCATCGATCATTAGATTTGCTTGCTGCCCCCCAGTCCTTGGCGTCTCCATTGTAGCTTCGATGGAACTCCCGCCCTCAAGATTATGCTCGTTATGCTCTTCAATAACTTCTTTACTTGAAAGCTTGATCCCATCACCTGCAGCTTTTACATTCTTTTTAAATGGATCGGCTTGAAGCAGCCGATGTAAAAACTTTTTGCCATTGGGACCAATCGGAATAAACTGGTCATCTCTTGGTGTTTCAACAAACTTCAATCGTCCTTTTTCAAAGGCCGATTTAACTATTTGACGAAACATGTTGCTGAAGGAAATATGCCCTAGAGGAAATAATAAAGTTATTATTTATTTCCTTATTTCATGATAAATGTTTATTATTCATGCTAGAATTGTATTAACCGGAAACATAATACATGTGTGAATACATAGACAAACATAGTGTCACTAGTATGCCTCTACTTGACTAGCTCGTTAATCAAAGATGGTTAAGTTTCCTAACCATAGATATGAGTTGTCATTTGATTAACGAGATCACATCATTAGAAAAATGATGTGATTGATATGACCCATTCCGTTAGCCTAGGACTTGATCGTTTAGTATATTGCTATTGCTTTCTTCATGACTTATACATGTTCCTGTAACTATGAGATTATGCAACTCCCGTTTACCGGAGGAACACTTTGGGTGCTACCAAACGTCACAACGTAACTGGGTGATTATAAAGGAGTGCTACAAGTGTCTCCAAAGATACATGTTGGGTTGGCGTATTTCGAGATTAGGTTTTGTCACTCCGATTGTCGAAAAGGTATCTCTCGGCCCTCTCGGTAATGCACATCACGATAAGCCTTGCAAGCAATGTAGCTAATGAGTTATTTACGGAATGATGCATTACATAACGAGTAAAGAGACTTGCCGGTAACGAGATTGAACTAGGTATTGGATACCGACGATCGAATCTCGGGCAAGTAACATACCGATGACAAAGGGAACAACGTATGTTGTTATGCGGTTTGACCGATAAAGATCTTCTTAGAATATGTAGGAGCCAATATGAGCATCCAGGTTTCGCTATTGGTTATTGACCGAGAATAGTTCTAGGTCATGTCTATATAGTTCTCGAACCCGTAGGGTCCGCACGCTTAAGGTTTCGATGACAGTTATATTATGAGTTTATGAGTTTTGATGTACCGAAGGAGTTCGGAGGCCCGGATGAGATCGGGGACATGACGAGGAGTCTCGAAATGGTCGAGACGTAAAGATCGATATATTGGACGACTATATTCGGAGTTCGGAAAGGTTCCGAGTGATTCGGGTATTTTTCGGAGTACCGAAGAGTTACGGGAATTCGTATTGGGCCTCAATGGGCCATACGGGAAAGGAGAGAAAGGGCCAAAAGGGTGGCCGCACCCCTCCCCTTGGACTAGTCCGAATTGGACTAGGGAGGGGGGGTGCCCCCTTCCTTCCTTCTCCTTCTCTCTTCCCTTTCCTTCTCTCCTACTCCTACTACATGGAAGGGTTCCTAGTTCTACTAGGAAAGGGGGAATCCTACTCCCGGTGGGAGTAGGACTCCGCTAGGGCGCGCCATAGAGAGGGCCGGCCCTCCCCCTCCTCCACCCCTTTATATACGGGGGCAGGGGCACCCCATAGACACACAAGTTGATCTACGGATCGTTCCTTAGCCGTGTGCGGTGCCCCCCTCCACCATATTCCACCTCGGTCATATCGTC